ACGGGAAATGCAAGCCCCATCTTTCTCCCTCAGAGCAGCTGTTGGTTTCAAACTGCTGACCTTGCAGTTAGCAGCCTAAAGCGAAACCACTATGCAACCATGGCTCTTCAGATGCCCAATAAATAGGAGCAATTCCTCTTGTTATTGGACTCTGGTGCAGGTAATGGTCTAGATTCAGTTCTGGAAGTGAATAGGAGTCCCTGTGAGAGGCCCTTGTCCCTCCAGCCCTAAGGAAGAGAGGAAGTAAGTGCAGATTCACTGTCTGCTCAGCCAGGATGTGTCTGGGGGTGGTGATGAACATACCCAAAGAGGTGGCTTTTTATGGGGAGAAGGATGGGACCAGCAACTCATTCCCTGGGTCCAACTCAGAAGCTCTTGGCTGCAGAGTTCAAGCAGGGCACAGTTACAGAGGTCACTGTCATCACGGAAGAGCCATGCCTCAGGGAGGAAGACATTTGGCCTTGGCAAATTCCTCGCACAGCAGAAACTAGTCCAACCCTGTCCATATAAGGAGTGACAACAATTCCATGAAAACTTGGGTGTTAACAGTCCCATCGGAATAGGAGGGAATAGTAACCAACACTTTTAGGTAGTGCTTACTATGTGATGTGTTGTCCTGAGAACACTCTTACAATCAAATTATCAGTCTGATTTCCAGCAGCCTACCCCCCAGCTGTGGAATATGAGCATCTACATGCTGGCATAGAGAATTCCTGACTTTCTCACTGCACGCTGTGTTGATAGTTGGCTGATGTGAACAGACAACCGAGTCTGCAAATTTTATCACTATTGTTGCTACAAATCTTTCTCATTCTTGAGCTATTCCATAAGCTGGAATAGTTCCATAAGCATGACTTCCACATGCACTCTATCTAGTTCCTCACAGATGAGAGTCTTGGTGACTCACATTCTAGCACACCAAGGGTTCCCACTACCACACCACTAACAAAAGGATCAATTCACCTGGCCAGTGAATTGTTCAGTTCTAAATTCTATTTGGGGATCTGCTTTCTAGAGCCACTTCCATTTTATCCAACTGACTTGGGTTGAGTCCCTAAAAGCAGATGCTAAAATAAAGATTTCTGTGAAAAAAATTTTATTGGGGCGATGGATAATGCCAGGGATCATCTGTGAAGATGGAATGGAATGGAAGATGGTATATACAGCGCATGATAAGGAGTATATTTGCCTTGTAGGTAATGGGGTCTCAATCTCATAGGGACCTCTGAAAGATACTACACTATGCTGCAGAAAGACACCCCCACCAAGGAAACAAGGAACTGGGGTATTGATCCACCAGTTTCATGGTTTGAGGTCTCTCCCCAGGGACATGGGATGTTCTTGTACCCAAAGAAAGCTTGGTAAAGAGTCTTGGGTGCATTCAGTAGGAAGCAGATACTATGTGAGAGGACTATATAGTGGTGGGACAGCAATAGCTGATTTACTTTGGGCCGGTTACTTATCCTCCCAGTGCCCATGTTTCCTTATGTAAGGATAATAGTAGATCTGCTCCATAGGGTCATATTGAAGAACAAATAGGAAGTTACTCTTAAAGTGCTTCAAGTAACACAGTAAGCATAGTAAGCAGTCAATAAAGGATAGTCATTATTATTGTGTTGGTGAATATTATTCTTTGGGATAGATATTCAGAAAAGCAAAACTAACTTGGACCTTTACATGATGAAGCTCAGGATACGCCCATAACATTCAAGTTTAAATAAGTTGAAGCTCCAGATAAAAGACCAAACCCATGGGCTTCACACGCTCTCTAGCTTTCAATTGAAGTGGCTGGCCTTCAAGGGAAAAAAAAGGAGTGAAATTACTTGAGCAAATGATTGTTTATTAAGACACAGACATTAAAAAAAATCATTTTATTGGGGGCTCATACAACTCTTCCACAATCCATACATACAATCATTGTGTATCAAGCATTCGTTGCCCTTATCATTCTCAAAGCATTTGCTTTCTATTTGAGCCCTTGGTATCAGCTCCTCATTTTTCCCCTCCCTCCCAGCTCCCCCCCTCCCTCATGAACCCTTGATAATTTATAAATTATTGTTATTTTGTCATATCTTACACTGTCAGATATCTCCCTTCACCCACTTTTCTGTTGTCCATCCCCCAGGGAGGAGGTTATATGTAGATTCTTGTAATTGGTTCCCCCTTTCTATCCCACCTTCCCTCCACCCTCCCGGTATCGCCAATCTCACCACTGGTCCTGAAGGGATCAGCTGTCCTGGATTCCCTATGTTTCCAGTTCCTATCTGTGCCAGTGTACGTCCTCTGGTCTAGACAGATTTGTAAGGTAGAATTGGGATCATGATAGTCGGGGGGAGGAAGCATTTAAGAACTAGAGGAAAGTTGTATGTTTAATCTTTTCTACACTGCATCCTGATTGGCTTGTCTCCTCCCTGAGTCCCTTCTGTAAAAGGATGTACAGTTGCCTACAGATGGGTTTTGGGTCCCCAATCTGCATGCCCCCTTATTCACAATGATATGATTTTTTGTTCTTTGATGCCTGATACCTGATCCCTTCAAGACGTCGTGATCACCCAGGCTGGTGTGCCTCTTCCATGTGGGTTTTGTTGCTTCTGAGCTAGATGGCCACTTGTTTACCTTCAATCCGTTAAAACTCCAGACAATATATCTTTTGATAGCCAGGCACCATCAGCTTTCTTCACCACATTTGCTTATGCACACATTTGTCTTTAGCAATTGTGTCGGGAAGGTGAGCATCATGGAATGCCAATTTAATAGAACAAAGTTTTGTTGCATTGAGGGAGTACTTGAGTGGAGGCCCAAAGACACAGACATGTTTTACCTTGGGACCATTCTCACAATTTTTCTTTGACGTCACAGTCTTGCCACTGACTGTAACTCCTTCCCATCTTCCAATCTCAAGGCCATGTCGTCTAGGGCAATGCTTTATAAGAGATAAGGTTTTGGAGACCTAAGTTCTAGTTTCTGCTCTGCCATTCACTCATTGTCACATAGTAGACCCATTGCTCAATCTCTGTGGATCTCAATCCCCAGTCCATAAAATATGGACAGATACTTATATACATTTTCTTACTAATGAAGATGGTATAAGTGTGTAAAGGTATAAATGCCACTGTTGCACATAGGGAGCCAGCCCTCAAGGTAGTGAAAACTGAGAATTACAGTAAAAATTTATTAATTTGAAATAAATTCAGAAGCAGCAGAAAGGATGCAGTGAAAAAAGTTTGAGACTGGTGTGTTAGCCCAGGTTGACTCCTGGTACCATATTGTGTTCGACTGGGTTGACCAGAGAAACAAATCCAGAGACACGTGTGTTTAAGAGAGAGCTTTCTATCAAAGAGCAATTGTATATTGGGAAAACATCCCAGCCCAGTCCAGATCAAGTCCATAAGTCTGATATTAGCCCTATGTCCAATACCAGTCTATAAATTCCTCTTCACATTAGCAAAGGACATGCAATGATGTTGAATGTAGGAAGATCACAGGTTGGTGGGTGAAAAGACTTGTGAATCCAATGGCTGTGGAAGCACCTCAGTGCTGGCGTAAATCTCCACATGGCTCCTCCAGATCCTCCAAGTGTCTCAATAGGAAGAAAGGTGAAGCAGAGAGAGTGTGGCCCACCTCCAGGGAGAAAGAGAGAAAGTTCCCCCAATTTTCAAGAGAGGTTCATGTCCGCAAGGAGGCATCATCAGGCTGTGACCTGATTGACAGGCTAGACTCCACCCCTAGACCTATTTATCAAGTTGACCTGAAATTATGTAACGACCACAACTGGGTACAGTAAGTAGTGCCCTTCAGATTTCTAAGGCTGTGAATCTTTATGGGAGTAGAAAGCTTCATCTTCCTCCCATGGAATGACTGGTGACATCGAACCTTGTGATGTCACTGTCCTGGGTTCTCAGTTTCTTCATCTATGGCATGCAAACATCTCTGCGGTCCCTTCCAGATCTAAAATTCTACTAGATGTAACTAGACTAATGTTCACTTTGGGACCATCAATGAAACAGAGGTTTCCTTCACTTCTCTGCTTACATGTCTCAGTTCCAGAAAGATCATTTCTGAAACACCCATATTAGTAGCATCCCTTCCTCTCCTCCATCATTCCCCATGCTCTGCCTCCGTTTTAGTCTTCTATATAACAGGATTATATCTTTATTCATCCTTGGTTTTTTGCCTTGATGGTGGAGATCCATCTGATGTGTTCACAGCTGCCTCCTGAGGAAGTAGCGTAAGCATCATGCCTGACCTCCTCCAGCTTCACTGGGGAAGGAGAACACAAGTCCACACCAGCCCAAGGCTGGTGTCTCTGAGCCAGAGCTCAGACAGCCGTACCTTCACCTTCCGTCCTTCTCTATGCCACTCAGACAATAACCATCTCGCTGAGGGCATTCTGCTTCTCGGCTGGGTTTGATGAACTATTGCAATGGCCCCACAAAACCCACAACAGACATTGCTCACGATTGTGGGCACTAATTAGGGAAGTAGACAGGTTATCAAAGTCAGGATCCGAAAACACTAAAGATCACAATCCTTTTATCTACAGAAGTGTCTCTTCTCAACCACGTTGTTGTTGTTGTTGTTGTTGTTGTTAGGTGCCCTGGAGTGGGTTCCAACGTATAGCAACCCTGTGCACAACAGAAGGAAACGCTGCCTGGTCCCGCACCATCCTCACCACTGTTCTTATGTCGGAGCCCATTGTGGCGGCCACTGTGTCCGTCCATCTTGTTGAGGGCCCTCCTCTTTGTCACTCCGCGACTTTACCAAGCTTTATGTTTTCCTCCAGAGACTGGTAACTGCTGACAACATGTCCAAGGTGCATAAGACAAAGTTTTGCCACCCTTGCCTCATAGAGCATTCTGGTTGCCCTTCTTCTGAGACAAATCTGTTTGTTCTTTTGTCAATCTATGGTATTTTCAATATTCTTCACTAACACCATAGTTCAAATACATCGATTTCTCTTTGGTCTTTCTTATTCAATGTCCAATTGGCATATGAGTCGATTAAAAATGTGATGAGACCCTGGAATGAGCGCTGGGCACGGCGCCCGAGCCAGACTGCGGAAACGTTCCTTGCTAAAAAAAAAAAAAAAAATTCCATGGCTAGAGTCAGACACACCTTAATCCTCAAAGTAGTGTCACTGCTTCTCAACGCAAAAGAGGTCTTGTGCAGCAGATTTACCCAATACAATTTGTCTTTTGATCTCTTGACTGCTGCTCCCATGAGCATTGATTGTGGACCCAAGCAAAATGAAATCCATGACAACGTCAATCTTTTCACCATTTATCATGATGTTACCTATTGGTCCATGTGGTAGTTATATAATGTGTTGTCAATTTGAAATTTAAGAGTGAAGGTGGAGGTTAGCCTGTCAATCAGGTCACAGCTTGATGACCTCATTTGGAGACATTAAGGAGATAAATAGCTCACTGGAGGCAGGACACACACTCCCTTTCTTTGAGGCATTCTTGCTGACAAGACACATGGAGGTACTCTAGACCCCTGGAGCTGAAGGAGCCATGTGGAGACCCCTGCCAGTGCTGAGATGTTTTCACTGCCACGGGCTCCACAAGAATTTCCATCCACTGGCCTGTGATCTTCCTGCATTCGTGTCATTGCATGTGTTGCGTGAGTCTGAAGAAGAATTTATGGACTAGTAATGAACATATGGGCTAATATTGGACTTATGGATTTGACTTGGACTGAGCTGGATTGTTTTCTCAATATTCAATTGCTCAATATTCAATAAAGCTCTTTCTTATATACATATATGTGACTATGAATTTGTTTCTCTAGTCAACCAGGACCAACACAGTCCAGTTGTGAGGATTTTGGTTTTCTATACATTGAAATACAATCCATACTGAAGACTGTAAACCTTGCTCTTCATCAGCAAGTGCTTCAAGTCCTCCTCACTTTCAACAAGCAAAGTTGTGTCATCTGCGAATCTCAGAGTTGTTAATAAAACTTCCTCCAATCCTGATACTGCACTCTTCTTCATACAATTCACTTTCTCTGATTATTTGCTCAGCATACATGTTGAATAAGCATAGGGAGAAAATACAACCCTGAAGCACACCTTTCCTAATTTTAAACCCATGCAGTATTCCCTGGTTCTGGTCAAACTACCGCCTCTTGTTCCATGTACAAGTTCCACATGAGCAGCATGAAGTGTTCTGGTATTCTTATTCTCCTCCAAATTTCTGTTGTTTTCAGGATCCCCACAGTTAAATGTCTTGGCATATTCAGTAAAGCACAATTAACCATCTTTCTGGTAGTTTCTGCTTTGAGCCAAGATCCATCTGACGTCAACAATGACAGCCCTTGCTCCATGGCCCCTGTGGAATCCAGCCTCAACCTGTGTTGCTCCTGTCAATGTACTGTTTCAACCACGGTTGGATGATCCCAGCCATACCAGCAAGCAAAGCTCTTTCTTATCCTCTGACTCTCTCTGGTCCTCAGCTTCTCAGCCATGTGGCCCATTGGCCCTGCCCTACTCAGACAAATATTTCAAAGCTTCTTTAGTGGTTATAGAAGCCCAAAGACACTGCAGTATGCAGTCAGCTTCCTGCCCAAAGACGCTTGGCTTTACTCAGTTAGTAGGCTGACCCACTGCTCAGCTTCATGGCCTCAGTACTGTGGCCTCTGGTGCCTGGGCTGCTGCGGCCACTTCACACAGAGACCTAGCATCCACTCTGCCCATAGCTTTCCTTTCTTGATAGTCATGGGAGTTTCTCTTCCTGCTTCTGAGGTGGCTCACTTTATACCCAGTGGGATGACAAAACTGACCAATCCCACCCTTATCGTCACCTTATTTGTATGTTGCCACCCAGCCATTTAGCAGAAGTTAGAAAGACTGATTGAAGAGCCATATAAAGTCATTACACTTCAGCACATCCACCTCCCCCAGCACCTATAACTGTTTGGGGCATGTAGGAGGCTCTCAACACATAGCCATTGAATGCACGATTTAAAGAAGCTCTAAAGAATATTCATATTAATTTAAGAATATCTTGTCCCAAGTTCAAGAAAGCAAACTTCCAAAGTACTCGACACTGTTTCAGAAGTGTTCATTGGCTTCTAAATGCAGCCAGCTGTGACCTGCT